CCTCCTCCTCCTCCTCCTCCTCCTCCCCCTGCTCCTCCTCCTCCTCCCCCTTGTCAACCTCCTCCTCCCCCTCCTCCTCCCTCCCGGCGTGCGGCTGCGGAGCAGGCGCCCCTTGGGCGAATTCGGTGCCTGGAGCTGGGGCAGTGCAGCACCGTGGAGGCAAAAGCGCCCCGCTGGCTCACCTCGAGATTCCTGCGCCCACGAAGCCTGGAGGGCCACGCCGTGTGCCTGGAGCAGCGTGGTCCATGCGGCTGCACTTCCGGTGCTGGCTCGTCCTGCTGGTAAACAGGGACGCCGCAGGCCGCACCGCGTGCAACGGAACGGGCCGCACGTTCCTGGGGCCTCTATGGATCCATCGCGTTTTGTCGTTCAGTTACATTTTATGCTCTGCACGCGAATTTGTCAGGGACGACATGTTCAAGATGCTAGATTGCGTCATGAGTGGTGGCCCTCGGATGAGACGGCGGCACGAGGGCGCCAATCAGGTCTCCTGCCCCCTACCGCCAGACTTTTCGCGAGCTTGTGACGAAGTAGCTCGGAATTCATTTTCAGCGCTCGCGAGGGTATTCTGAATATCTGTACACAGTGCTAGTTGCCCGCGCGCTGTTCCCAGCATGAATTTGGCAAGATTGCCATGAGCATGCTTCTCAATAAGTGCGACGGCTAAAAGGCCAGTCCCGCGTTGAATTCCTAATTATATCAGAACCGCACAAATGATGCGATGAGATCAGCGGTCCAGCTTCGGCAGCAGGGCCGCCCTGGCACACGAGAACTCGCGCCCCATGCCGAGGAAGGCATGAAGGAGGAAGAGGAGGAGGAGGAGGAGGAGGAGGAGAAGGAGGAGGAGGAGGAGGACGAGGAGGGAGGAGAGAGGAGGGAGGAGGGAGAATGGAGGATGGATGAGGAGGAAGAGGAGGAAGAGAAGGAGGTGGAGGAGGAGGAGGAGGAGGGTGGCGTTAGTATGACCCGAGCGCCACTAGTTCAGAGCTCACCGGAGGATGAGCAGGAGGAGGCGGCTGAGGATGAATCTGAGGATGAGGACGAGGACGAAAGTGTTGATGATGATGCTGATATTGATGATGGTGATGATGATGATGGTGGTGATGATGATGGTGATGATGACGCTGATGCTGATGATGATGCTGATGATGAGGATGTGGATGCTGGTGATGCTGATGATGATACTGCTGCTGATGATGCTGCTGATGCTGATAATGATGATGCTGACGATGATGATGCGGATGCCGATGCCGATGCGGATGCTGCTTCTGAGGATGACGATGGAGATGCTGCTGCTGCTGATGCTGATGCGGATGTTTGTGCTTCTGCTGCTGCTGATGATGTTGATGATCACGATGATCATGATGGTGATGATGATGCTGATTATGATGATGGTGATGATGATAAGAATGATGATGATGATGATGATGATGATGATGATGATGAAAGGAGTGGTGATGCTGATGGTGTTGATGCACATGCTGATGTTGATGACGATGCTGATGATGATGACGATGAAGAAGTGTAAGACAATTCTGATGTAGGTGATGATGACGATGATGATGGTGGTGACGATGATGATGGTGATGATACTGCTGCTGATGATCATGATGCTGCTGATACTGCTGTTGCTTCTCCTGCTGCTGATGCTAATGCTGATGATAATGCTGTTGATGATGATGACGATGCTGCTGATGATGCTGCTGATGGTGCTGCTGCTGATGGTTCTGAAGATGATGGTGAGTGATGATGACGATGAGGATGATGATGCTGCTGATGATGGTGATGCTGCTTCTGATTATGACGATGATGATGCTGCTGATGATGAGGAGGAGGATGATGGCGATGATGATGATGCTGATGATGATGATGAGGAGGAGGAGGAGGAGTCAGTCGTAGGTGGAGGAGGAGGAGGAGGACGAGGAGGAGGAGGAGGAGGATGGAGGAGGAGGATAGAGGAGGAGGATGGAGGAGGAGGAGGATTGAGGAGGAGGAGGAGGAGGAGGAGGAGGAGGAGGAGGAGGAGGAGGGGGAGGGGGAGGGAGGAGGAGGAAGGGGGAAGGGACGCCACTGGAGGTTTCGGGGGGCGCGTAAGCCGGGTGTGGAGGGTGCCTTCGTTCCGCTCTTGGGGGGGGCCACGGTGTGCGCACACCCCCTCCCGCGGGGGGAGCGCGCCCCTGCTCTTCCTGCGCGAGCGGCATCCGTGCCCTGGCGCCCAGGCGCCATGGACAAGCGCTGACCCCTTGCGGATCCTGCCCCTGCGTGTCCAGTCGACGCTCTCAGCCAGCTCCCCTTCAGCCTGCGGCCCCACCGGCGGTAGGTTCTGAGTGCGGGCCCGGCCGCTGTGCTTTTAGGCTCGCGCGTTGCTAATTTGGCAGGCCCGTGGCCCGGACCTTTCAACTCGGCGCCTGCGCTTCTGCTTGCGCCCGCGACGAAAAAAAGTCCAGTCGACGCTGGGGTGTCGGACGCCCCGCCAGGACCCCCCGCTGGGGCTCACGCGGCTGCAGACATCCTCCAGAGTCTGAGCCCGAGCCGGTTCTCCATAGATCTACACAGACATGAGTCATGCGCCATGCACCATGTATGTTACACGACATAGGCTACGACACATAGGTCACACTTGGAAGCTCACAGCACATAGCTGACACGCACCTGACGCAGCAATTGTTCAGTAACATGTCTTACGCCACATAGCTCACACCACACTGCGTTCACAACATAGCATACGCCAAAGAGCTCACGCATCATAGCATACACCACATGTCCTACACAGCATCGCTTGTAACACATAGCCTGCACCACACAGCTTTCATCACATAGCTTCCACCGCAGATCTTTCATCACATACCTTGCGAATCATGCTTACGCCACGTAGCTTACTCCAAATATCTTGCACCACGTAGCGCGCACGTGCACCGTGCAACAGATCACTGTTTTGGGTTCTCGACGGTAACATTGCCTTAACACTAAATCCCAGAGGCAACAGATGTCAGTGCACCGCATCACGCCTGGGACGGGAAACTTTCGGCAGCCCATCGCGGGACGATGTATAAGTGCAGTTCTCGTCTCTTCCTCTTCCCCTTCCCTCCCCCCTGCTGAGAAGTGTTCGATTCTGACGGGCCTTGTTCAACGCAGTCGCACCGCTTTCGCGCAAAAAGGCTGCCAACAGTGATGGGGAACAAGAGGTCCATGGTCAGACACACAACCGTTGCCGAGGCTCCATGACAATCCCGCGGCCCGCTTGGCGCCGTCGCAGGCTGCTGTCGCCAGCCTGCCGCTTCGTTTCTCTCGTGGCACCCGCTCAGGACTTCGCCTCGCCCAATGGCAAGCGTGTCCTCCGGGGCGGCCCGCCGCCGGCCGCCAGTTTTGAGACCGTTCGTGACGAACACCAGATGATGGGCCTGTTTTCCACCACCACCGCCGTAAGTTGGAGGGGGGAAGGAGGAGGACGAGGAGGAGGACGAGGAGGAGGAGGAGGAGGAGGGCCCCCTCCCCCTCCTGCCTATGGTGGTGGCGGTGGAAGAGAAGCCCGCCGCCAGAATTTCGAAGCCTGCCGGTACAGTGCTCGGCAGCGCTCTCGATCCTCACCAGCGCAGGGTCCGGCGCGCGCCGCCAGGCGCCTCTTCAGCTGCTCCTGCTCCTGCCCCGTCCTAACCCGCCCCATGGTTGGCATCGCCCGATCTCGACGCCGATCTTGATGATTCCCTAAGTTTCTGAGGCCGGATCCCTGAGATTGTCATCGGCTTTGGGCTTGTCAATCGTAGGGGATAGAGAGTCGACGCCGGTTGCTTCTTACCAGCCGTTCCTTTGTCCTGCTCTCTCCTCGTGCTTGTCCTTCGTTCTCTTTGCAGTGAACCACCCGGGCCTCCAAAAGGGGTGTGCGGCGCGCGCGCGCGCCCCTTTCCACCACCCGCCCCTTCCCCTCCCTCGTGGCGCCCGGCTCCTACCAGCCGAAAAGGTGTGCGGCCGAACAAAAACGTGTGACCATATAAAAATACATGCTTAAAACATTTCCAGGACATTTTTCCGACATCTAAAACACATGTTAAATTCAATGATAGGACTGCAAGGGTGTCCATTGTCGTGGCATCCACAAGTGTATACGGTCGGTAGTTTTGGCTTAGCGCGTCGCGCTGCCGGGCCTGCCGCAACCCGCCGCGATACGCGACGCGCTGACCACGTCCTGGGCCCCGAACGTCAACGTCCCGACCCTTTCGAAGCCTCCCGCCCCGCGGAGCGAGGCACCACGCTATCGGCTCGCAGGGCACAGCGTGTCGCCGTGGCCGCCGCGACACGTTGAGCAAGAGTTCACGACGGCAGTGAGCGCCCGCTCAGCGCAGCCGACTGGCGCCGCAACAGTGCCACGAGCGGGAGGTTGGCCACGCCCTCTTTGCGAGCGCAGCGGCAGCGAGTCGGCACGACCGTTCCACCCCTAACAGTGGGCGATGTGGAGAACGGGAGAGATGGAGGATGGAGGATGGACAATGGATGGAGGGAGGAGGGGGAGGAGTATGAGGAGGTGGTGGAGTAGGAGTAGGAGTAGGAGTCAAGCTAGCCAGCTCGAGCGAGTCAAGCATGGCATGCCCAGTCCCACCCGCCCTCCCACAACATAAGAAGCAAAGCTGGCACAACTGGGGGCCGAAGTCACACCGGCCAGCCGGTTTGGTACAGCTGATGCGGCCGCGATGGCGGTTGCCGACGGGAACTGGCGAGCGCGTGTTGAATGCCGCGCACGCATTGCCAGACGAGTCGAGAATGGCCCGGTACACCGCAGGAAGCCAGAGGTGGCCGGAGGAAGCCCGACGGTCTGACAGGACACCCCAAAGCATTTTTGTGAAAAAGCATCGGGTTTTTGATGTTTTTATGTTGAAATGCTTGCAAACACACGGTGTTCGGTAGGATTCTGACATGAACGCGCGAGTGTGCTCTTTGTGGTATTTTTTGCACAGGATTCGCGGCCTGGGTGCATGACAGAGCATCGCGAGTGCACCGCGCGATGACGTGAAATCGCTGGATTTGACCGAATTCTTAAGATTCCTATGGTTTTCCTATGATTTCAGCAAGAGAGCCCGGGCGGGAAATTTGTACAATTTTTGTGGAAAAAAAAAAGCATTGGGTTTTTGATGTGTTTATGTTGAAATGCTTGCAAACACACGGTGTTCGGTAGGATTCTGACATGAACGCGCGCGTGTGTTGTTTGTGGTATTTTTTGCAATGGATTATCGCCGTGGACGACAGGACGTCCATGTCGAGAGGCAAAAATAAGATAAATGTTGATTTTGTATTGTTTTTTACAGGTTAGGATGGGACCACCCAGATGCGGCCCCTATCGGCCGGCCTGAGGGGGGAGTTGGAGTAGATTCGAATAAGGAATAAGGATAGGAGAAGGAGGAGGCGGTGGAGGAGGAGAAGGAGGAGGTTGAGGAGGGAGGAGGGAGGATAGAGGAGGGAGGAAGGATAAAGGATGAAGAATGGAGGAGGGGGAAGAGGAGGGAGGAGGGAGGAGGGAGGATGCAGGATGCAGGATGCAGGATGGAGGATGGAGGAGGAGGAGGAGGAGGAGGAGGAGGAGGAGGAGGAGGAGGAGGAGGAGGAGGAGGAGGGAGAAGGCGCGCCCTGCACAACTTTGGACGGATTGAGGGGGCGCGCGGGGGGCATGATCGCGAGGGGAGTTGGGCGCGATGCGGGCGGGTCGGACCGGGAAGGCGCCGCCGGTCGGGGTTGTTGAGCGCTCGTCCCAGACTCGACTACACGTAAGAGTGACCCTTCGCCGGAGTGACCTTTGATGCGGGCCCACTGGGGTCCCCCGATCGCCGAGCGCGATGCGGTAGCAGCGTCTTGCCCGCTTGTGTTTGGTCCCGCCGCTGCCCCCCGAAAGCCGCGCACCAAAGGTCACTCTTACCCAGGGTCACTCTTGCGTATAGCCGACAGACCCCCTCGGGTCATGAATCAAGCAGTGGCGAAGCGTCCTGGCTCGCCTATAGGCCTACCAAACAATGTTCTTAGAACCGTTCGTGGGTTCCACGAATTGTTCTTAGTACATTTCTGGCTGGGAGTGCTTTCTTTTGACACATCGGGTTAATGTTCTAAGAACACTGGCTTTTGTTATTGGAACAGTTTTGGATTCTGGGAACATTTCGTGGTAGGACTATATGAATGCCGGGGCGGTCGGTCCCTGCTCAAATGAAAAGATCACGACGGGGAGTTTTGCGTTATTCTCGGCCACTGGGGGCCCTCACCGGGCCGCGGGACCGTCAAAAAATACTCAGGACGAAAAACCAGTCCCAGGGAAGGAGTCCAGACCGCTGGAGGTCCACGTCATGAAAAAAATCATGATGTCGGGGGTCTGGGTCAGGGGCAACGTTATGGGGGATAGTTGGTACAGTTTCAGGTTGCGCACAGACAGCCCCCCAGGTAGTCCCGGCTGGCCTCAACTGCCCCCCAGAGTCGTCCCGGCTGGCCTCGACAATCCCCCCGATTAGCCTGGGGCGGTCTCAACACCCTGGCGCCGCCTCCGGCGGCGCCCCTGGGCTGTGCGGGGGGCCCGTGGAGGTCCGTCGGGACTGCCCAAGGGGACTGTCTCTGCGCAGCCCGAAGCTTTACCAGAGAGGCTCTGGGGGTAATGTATTGGCCCCGAATTGGCCGTTCATCGCCAATAGCTTTTGGATTGCCCACCCCGCCTAGCAACGTTCGGTCTCGCAATCGAGAGCCTGCCGCCGATCCGTCGGCGATGTATCGCCGATTCCAGGCCCGTGTTTCTCCCCCTGTGCCAGTCCCCCCCTGTCGTTCCCATGAGCTCGATAGCAGGCGGAGGGGGAGGAGGAGGAGGAGGAGGAGGAGGAGGAGGAGGAGGAGGAGGAGGAGGAGGAGGGAGGAGGAAGAAGAGGAGGGAGGAGGAGAGGAGGAGGGGGGAGGAGGGGGAGGAGGAGGGGGGGAGGAGGAGGAGGAGGAGGAGGAGGAGGGAGGAGGAGGAGGAGAAAGTGGGGGCAATCAACGGGGAGGCGGATCGAGGATCGCAGGAGCGTGGCCCACGTGGGGGCCCTGAGCGGCCTCGGCGCTGCCGCCGCGGGCCCAGGAGGCACTGGCGAGGGTGCGCGTTTCCCCCCCCCCCCCCCCGTCGACGAACGCCCGAGGGTGGCATGGTGTGTGTGTGTGCTCTATGCAGCTCAGTGTAGCTCAGCGTCGGCGCTGGCTCCCCCCCTCGGCGCTTCCCTGCCGCAGTCGGCGACTCCGAGCGGGCCCGGCGTCGTCTCTTCCTGTCGCGCCGGGGCTGCTCCTCTTCTTCCGTGCCTGGCGGCCTTAAAGTATTTGCATGCAGCGTGTCCCCTGTTGCCAATCCGCCGGGACAGTCACCGACTGCCCAGCCGCCGACGCAAAAAGTGTGTGTGTGTGTGTCCGTGAGAGAGAGAGAGAGAGAGAGAGAGAGAGAGAGAGAGAGAGAGCTTATCTAGCAATTTGGAGGAAGGACCCCGCCCCTTCGGACATCAGCAGGGAGAGCGTGTCCCGATCCGTGGCCACGTGGTTATCGACGCCATTTGGGCCCGCGCGGCCGCAGGTCGAGCCCCCACCCGTGACCCGACACGCGGCGCACGGGCGACCCCGGCGACCCCTCGGCCGCTCGCGGCCGCCGATGGTGCTGCTGGGCGCTGGCGCGACGGCAAACTCGTTTCGTTTTTTATATGTGCTTCGCTTTTTTGCCTGCTTCCCGCCCGCGGCGGCCAGCCTGCCAGAGGAGTGCGCCGAGGCGGGCGGCTGTGCCGACACCCTGCGCCACGTGTCTCTGCTCCAGCGCCAGCACGGCGTGCAACCACCGCAGGCCGCAGAGAGCATGGGTGGCGGCGCGGGACCCGCCCAGAGGAAACCAAACATTGTGCTCTTCCTGCCCGATGACATGTACCTGACTGAATATTCAGCGTGGCATCCTGATGGCATCGCCCCAGCAGTGCCGAACCGCATGCCCGTGAAGAATGTGCCTATCGAGAACGCCGGGGTGATGCCGCGCCTTGAGAAGATTCCTTTCGCTTCGCGGTGTGCTTGTGTGGACCGCGGGACAATGGGCGTTTGGGGCCCCCTGGGAGTTTTTTGGAGGCTTCACGGGGGTCCTGGGGCCTCTTGGACCGTGTTGGAGCCCTCTTGGGTCATATTCGGTTTTGTTGGGGCCGTTCTGTACCGAATGTTTAGCCATCATGGGCTGTCTTGGACGCCCGTGGGCTCCCGAGGAGCCCGTGGTCGTGGCCGATGAAGGGAAACGTTGGGGCAGATCGGTCGCCAACTGGGGCAGTGTCCCAGGGGATTAAGGGAACCTGCTTTTCAAACGAGGAGTTGGGGGTGCTGGAGGTATCGGGAGCTGGCCCTTACGTGACACACGCGTGCTTTGGATTGCCGAGAAGATTGGCTCAAGTCTGGACGTGGAGTCCTCTCGCCTCGCGGGGTGCACGTCTGGGACAACGGGCCGTCTTAAGGCGACCTTGTGCCGTCTGGCGCCTTTGGAGGTCGTCTTGAGGCTTCTTTGGGCCGCCTTGGGGCCCTCAAAGGCCGTTTCGGGGGGCGTCTTGGGCCGTCTTGGAGGAATCTTGGGCCGTCATGGGTGTTTTTTCTGCCGCTTCGGGGCCCTCTTGGGTACTCTTGGGGCCCTCTAGGGGGCCTAATGTGCCGTCATTGGGGCCATATTTCAAGCCTCTGGGGGTGTCTTGGGGTGTCCGAAGCCCGAGAAGGCGAGAACCGTCTAAACTGAGCTGGGACAGGTGCGAGAGATAGCGAGCGTTTGTCCGCGGCCGTTTGTGTTCAAGCGGCCGGCCGCCAACATTTGAATGCGCCTCATAGCGAGGCATACGACTTGCCATCGAGACAGAAAACATCATTCGCTGGAGATGGCCCGTCGCTCCCGCGACGACCTCCTACGACTGGGACTATCGTTACTACGATACAACAGGGCAGGAGCTGCGCTTCGCCTAAAGCGTAGCTTCTGGACG